CTAAAGTCGGACAACATCGAATGTCGGACACTCTTCTTTTTCAGAATAAAATCATTACTATATTTAGTGTCGTTTGTATTTTTCTTAAGTAGGGCCTATCTCTGTTTACAGGGTGTTATTGGTTGTTTCATTCAAATGTAAGTCATGAAAATGTTTGAAATAACCTCTAAAATTCGTCGGGTACATACGCATCTCACGGATCCGGATAAAAACTCGCATGCGCAACACATAGTGATCCTTGGCGAAATCTTCAGTTTGCTGTCTGTATTCTGTGATGGCTAATATATTTTGTAATTAAAGCATACTTTCACATGATAAATATTAACTATTCCCTTGACAATAATAATTTGGTGGATATTTATTTATAAAAACCATTAAAATTAAACTGTCCGACTTTACATTCTGGGTCATTAAAAGTCGGACAGAGGAGAATTTAAAGTCGGACAACACACAATACATTGTTTTTAATTGTCAATTTTCTTAAAAACTAGAACAATTTATTAACATATCGAAAAAAAAATATTAAAAAATACGGTATGGGATGGGATTTGAACCCGGAAACATATGTAGTATAATTTACCGGTAATTTAAGAATATTTTCGCTTTTGCAAATCAAATTGTGCATGCTGATTCCCTGCAACTTTTAGGAAGGAAGAAATAAAAAAGATACATCTACCTAAAGAAATTGTTTCATTTCAGAAAAACAATGAAAAATACCTATATAAAACCCAAAAAAAAAAAAAAAAAAAAAAAAAAACATCTCGAAGAATTATAACAGAGAAATGAGAAATATTGGAACTGAGGAAAATAAAAGAAGAAAATGCCGCGAAAAAGTCTTTAAAAAAAATCAACACAAATATTTTTTTCACGGCTTTATTTGAGTTTCATGTTTATAACTCGGCACTCAGTTTCATTGTTTATTTTGAAAAAGAAAGAATTTTCCTTGTTGAAAAATAAAATTAGTTCCATAGATTACTGATTCCACTTTAAAGATTGAGGGATATATAGTTTTCTCCTTTCCGGCTATCTGTCTTATAATCATTATATAAATGGGTTTAATTTTGGAAACAATTTAAACCTAAAAATTTATTCACACGATAACGCATTGGTTTATAGATCGCAAGATACTATATGTTCATTTAAATTTCTTGGTCTAAATGGAAAGTTTATCTAAATAATCCATACAATGACTACTAAGTTTATTACGTAATAATCACTTAAATGTTCACGAAGTTTGCCCAGGCACGTAGTATCGTATTTGAAAGTGGGGGGAGGGGGTAGCCAAATAAAAAAAAAATCAACTTACCTGAAGGAAAAAAAACGACGAGCAAAAAAAAAAAAAAAAAAAAAAAAAAAAAAAAAAAAAAAAAAAGAAAAAAGGAGGAGGGTAATTGTCCAAATTCAAAAATCCTATTTCGGGGGTTAGTGGGAGGGTTCCAACTTCTTTCAAAACCAAATTTTATTCATACATTACCAGATTACCCTGATTTGACTATACTGCAACAAAAAAGGTGGTGGTGGGGCAACCAGCCTTTCACTGAAAATTTTCAATAGTGAAAAGTAATCTTGGGAAAAAAGTGAGGGTCCCTCCCCCCCCCCCCCCCCCCCCACACACACACTACGTGTCCTACTCTCTAACTATGATTTAGCCTAAAAAAATGAAGAAAATTGGACTTTAAATGTCGTAACCAGTATGTGTCCGACTTAAAATTCTACATGTCCGACTTTCACTGTCGATGTCCGACTTTATCAGCCCTTGCCTTCCCGTGTTTGGTTTTGATTTATAACATTACAAAGCTTTTAACCAATGAAAATTAAGAATAGAAAGAGGGTAAAAACATAATTTTATGTGATGTAAAAGTTTCCGGTTATATGTGAAGAGTTTGGAGCGTTTACCAAAGGTGCAGACGAGGTGGTCCGAAAAACCGTCCGACTTTCACTGCCTCTCCCCTACATGCAGTCATGCTTAGCGAGAGTTTTTCGTACTTTTTTGCATCACAACACAAAATAACTTATAATAAATATAACATTCGCTTTTGGAAACTTTTTAATATTTACAAAAACAATATAGAACCTTTTTCTTTTCTATTAATGTAGGGTTATCCCCGCTATTTTCACTGTGCGAGTCGGTGCTAAGATATTTGAATCGAACGAAAAGTATTAATTTCGATGTGGCCACACCCCTCGAGCAAAATAAAAATATACTTTATTTTTTCATATTTTAATCCTCTTTTCAATGATATAAATTTTATTTTGTTCGAAGGGTGTGGCCACAGCAAAAATTTGAACCAAAGACGAAAAAAATGCTTTATTTTGATAAAAACTAGCAAAGTGCACGTGTTTAGACGTTTTCTGTACAAATCTGACGTCATTAAATGAAAAAATTGGCATAAACTATTTAAGTTTGATACCCAAGGATAATATTTCTATTGTTAATTTTCTTTTTCCCCTCAGTTTAATTTTCCCGAAAAAATAGGCCGATTTAGCCCCTTCGTGGATTTAGCTCTTTGCACCGTATAATCTTTAATCTGCTTTATTTTTTATGCTCCCGTATAGAAGAATTTTTGCCCTGTCCGTCTGTCTGTTTGTTTGTCCGCAAAAACTTTAACATTGCTCATAGCTTTCATATTTCATATGTGTGTTCCTTGTGACAAGAGCTTTTTGGGTACCATCATTTTTGACCTTGGCCTTTGAGTTTGACCAAGTTTTACAAAATTTTACCCAACTTTAACCTTGGCCATAACTTTTGAACGGTTGGTGCTAGGGCTTTCATACTTCACAAGTGTAATTCTTGTGACAAGACCTCTCTTTGGATACCAACAACTTTGACCTTGACCTAGGAGTTTGACCTACTTTTGAAAAACTTTAACCTTGGTCATAACTTTTGAATGGTTGGTGCTAGGGTTTTCATACTTCACATGTGTAATCCTTGTGACAGGACCTTATTTCTTTGGATACCAACAATTTTGACACTTTGACCTATGAGTTTGACCTACTTTTGAAAAAACTTTAACCTTGGCCATAACTTTTCAATGGTTGGTGCTATGGCTTTTATTCTTCACAGGTGTATTACTTGTGACAAGATCTTATTTCTTTAGATACCAACAATTATAGCCCATTTACCTTGACCTTGGAGTTTGACCTGTTTTTGGAAAACTTAAACCTTGGACTTAACTTTTGAGCAGTTGGTGCTAGGGCTTTCATACTTTACATATGTAATCCTTGTGACAAGACCTTACTTTGGATACCAACAACTTGACCCTTGACCTTGGAGTTTGACCTACTTTTAAAAAACTTAAACCTTGGCCATATCTTTTGAACGGTTGGTGCTAGGGTTTTCATATTTCTCATGTGTATTACTTGTGAGAAGGCATTTTCTTTGGGCACCATTAATTTTGACCATTTGACCTTGATGTTTGACTTACTTTTGAAAAACTTTAACATTTTCCATATCTTTTCAATGGTTGCTGCTAGGACTTTCATATTCACAGGTATATTCCTCGGGACAAGACCTTACTTTGGGTACCAACATATTTGATTTGCATTTGAGAAAGTTTAACCTTCGCAATGAGTTGCTATACGGGGGCATCAGTGTTTCACAAACACATCTTGTTTTAGTCAGTTTTAAATTATTTATTATGTTTTATAGAAAGACAAAAAGTTAAGCTATACATCTGTTCTAGTAATTGCTTGCTAAAATAATTTTCATCTAATTTTCTATAATTCACATTATATTATCAAAGGAATTGCATAAATAGTTACTTTAAACCAAAATAATTCTATAGCCAATTTTAATTAATTATTGTGTCCAATAAATCAGTTGACTATTAGCCTTGTAAAATATACCTGAGGCTCGTTAGTTGCATCTTCCTTTATCAATGATTCAGCATTACGTAAGTCGGTAAAATTTTCACATTTTCCCTCATATTATTAATTTTCAATCAAGAAAACGAATGGACCCCCCCCCCCCAATACTTTGATTTTTTATAGCAACTTTTAAAGAGTTTCCATATTTCCCACATATAACAGAAAATGAATGTGTTTCTATATGTTCACAGTATAACGTAAACGGCACAATTTGTGTTTAATTTTTTTTGTGGGGGGGGGGGGGGGAATGTTGTTTTGCATTGTTTTTACACGACTTGAAAAATAACACAACAAAGTTGTATTTACATTTATGCTTAGGATTGAGCAAAGATATGTTATTATCATATTGTAAATTATGAATTTACTAGGCGGAGGTAAATGCAGAATTTATAATATGATAATTTATATTGTAAATTTTTCATTTACTTATACCTGGTATATACAAAATGATACTTTTTACCCCGATGTTAAAAGGTTTCCAAATTGTCCCTTGGTGTAAGCTTTATAAATGCATAAACACGTACAGTGTAGCATATTAAATCATATTGGGGATTGAGTATATAAGTTATATACATCCATGCAGGCATTTATACACTGTATTTATTTATTGGCATTAATCTGTTTATTCGTATTTCATAAATTTCTGGATTCTTTGAATCCTCTAGTAATGGATATACTCGGGACTGACAATTAAATGGGTTATTTATTTTATTGTTATATATCTCTTACCATTAACAGGTCTGTTGGTTGGTTGAATGTCCACGCACATGTTATCTTTAACTATCCTCTTTAGTCAACTTAACACACACTCACATTTTTACGCACACACTCTGAAGTATATAGCAAATACACATATAAAGATAAATGATTTAGCTGATAACTACGACAATTTTACTCAGTCCTAGCATTTAACATATACATGCACTTCATATTAAAAAAACCCCAATATTTAATAGAGTTGGTGCATTGATGACATTGTTTTTTCAAACTTACCAGAACACAAACTACTTTCTGATATGCATTTGTCAAACTGGCCTGAAACAGGAACCCGTGTTTGCCAATAAGTTTATTTCAAACTAACATATAAAAATTCTAATAACAATTTTTGTTTAAAAACAAACATATTTAAATATATGTACGTGTAAACATACATATAGAACAAAAAAATTGTCCATCTTTAACCCAACATTAGAGATCTTTAATTCCTCTTAATATAATAATTGTTCTTATTTGTGACTTGGTCGTCTGAGAAGTATTTTTTCTAATCCCATCATCGGAGCCTCGAATGAAACAGAGGCCACAAATGCTGTCATACAGGATAGTACCAAATGACCCAGGAAGAGATAAATCTGGAAGAAAAAAAGTTTTTTTTTTTCAAGGATGATCCTAGAGGAAACATAAAAAGATATAATTTTTATTGTTGTTACCATATAATGATATTTTGTTAGACTCACTGTGTTTATGTCGTCAATGTAAATGTTAGTACGTTGCATCCCTATGAAAGTGTATATCACCATGGCATGTGTCAGGTAAATACAATAGGAGAGTCGAGCCAAAGGGACGAATGGAGACCACGACAGTAGGGTATTAATGAATCCTTAAATAAATATGAATATACATTACGTTAAGAATGTAAACACATACTCCTAGCAAATCACAGACTATATGTCATCTTAAATGTTTTTAATGATTTCCAAAAAAGCATACCTCCATTTCCGGTAGCACAAGCGAATATGACCCAGCATACGCATGCTCCCCAGACAATTTTGTGGGTGGCGTTGTAGAGAGCCGACACGTCACGATTGAGGACATCCTCTGGGTAGACAATGGGATTACGGAGTCCGTAAAGGACAAGAATAGCCAATGTTGCAAAGATGAGCCACAGCAGTAGGTTAAGAAACTGATGAGGAGAACATTAATATAAACGACTCTTATTTTTTTGAGTTTAGTAAGTTAGGAAAATGTTTGAGAAGCATATCTTCCCACTTATCTTGACAGTTTTAACAACACCTTTGTTGCCTTACAGCTATGGAACTTTGTTGCATAAGATGATAGTATCACATCTATCTTATCTCATAACAGCCATATTTTACATTATATGATTTACAGAGAGCGTTGAGCTTGTGCGACCTCTTACGTTTTGAGCAAGAAGTAATGCAATATTTATAGAAATTGTAGAGAATATCTTAGATGCTTTAAAACAATAGTCTTTTGAATTCATCTATCAAAGAGCAGTTACAAAAATATTCTCTACCTTGTTTATTTTTACTTTGCAGTCTGTTTTATAAAGTAGAGATCCAACGATGATTCCTACTATGTAAGGCCCTATCCGGCAGTGAGGTCTAATATAATAGCTGGTAAAGTAGTCCCCTCTTCCTCTGAATAGAATTCAACAGTGTAATGAATAAGACCCATTATCTATTGCAATAAGGTTACATATCACAAAATTATTAAAAAAAAAAAAACCCTTTTTTTTTGGTAGTGCGACCAAAAAACGGAAGTGGACAGTGCCTTTAATTGAACAGTTGTACTCACTCTGGAGATCCGCCTCCACCGAAACTTGAGGGTGGAAGATCCAAGACGTTTGAGACGACCCCTGGCGCGATTGCAGATCCCAATAGCAAAACAGAGCAAACGCCAATCCCTATTGGGTAATGACTAAAAAAGAATCGTATAGGAAAGCTAGAAAGAATGACTATTTATTCTGAAAATTAAAGGTATTGAACTCTATAAACATCTTAATTACGTAAAGTTAAGGTTTCCAAAAGGATAAATAAACTTACAAATACAATGGAATAAGCATCAGTGGACTTAAAACGAAAAACTGCATATCATTAGCAAGGTACCATGAAACTCCAAAGCACTAAAATTGTAACAATGAAACATGAATTTCTGAATGGAAAAATGTTACTGAGATATTCTTTTTTTTAAAATACAAAATGAATTAGCCACAGATCATGATGCTACAACAGAAATTCACAATCTGTGCAAGTCTAAATGCTCATGGACTGTGCGATTAACTTTCTGTTCACCGAAATATGACTTGACTATTGCCCATTCAGCATTAAGCAATAATCATTCGATATATCAATCTACCAATCAATAAACTTTGTGAATTTCATTGCAAAATAAAATGCCCATAGCTTATGCAACTCAAATTTGATCAAAGTTTAATTTGCTATGAGGCGGACCATTTATTACCTGCTCTTTATCAAACAAGTTATTGATATAAAGAAGGTTTCTCCACCATGTGTTTTTACAAAAATCTGGCTCGAATCCATTCTTTGGCCACAACGGTCCATCTCCAAAATAACGGCTTAGACAGGCACTGATCATTATCATAATCATGTATACTGGTGTTAATCTATAAGAAAAAAAATATTTTTGTTAATAAAGTCATTTTAGAGGGTCATTAATGCAATGAAACGTCACCCTTTTTGTGCTTGTTGTATAAATTACTAGTACAAGAAAAAAATGTCAGGTTGTCTTAACGTTTGAGAAAATGGAGTGCGAAGTAAGAGAGATAGAAATCTGGTATTTCTATCAAGAAACACGTGTGTGCATATAGTAGATTCATGTATGATGTAGAAAACGTAAATGCATGTAGCTGTTTTTATTTTCTTTTTCTCAAAGTATTTTTGCTATGCTGATAAGTAGTTAAACTTATAGATAAGCAAAATTCAAATTCTTTCCGTCAAACGTTTCTGCAATTATATTTTAATAGAGAAATATGCAGGGGGAAGAATGTATTGCTATTTTAATATAAATGATACATGTATATATAAATTCGAGCAATTCAGACAAATGATCTTTGACAAGGAATCAATGAAGTTGGCTAGAAATACTCAATCTTTATTTTCATTTGTTTGTGACTTTTCTGATGAAGGGTTGGTGATAGAACATTATGACATATCCAATTCAGGTTATCAACTCTATCATGTCTTCAACACTGTAGTTAGTTAAGTATTGATTCATATTAATTTGTAAAAAAAATTATTTTGTACCGTTTTCTTTTACAAAAGAAGGCCATGTAATAGTGATTAGTAAAAATATACCTTTAAAATATTGAGGTTTTTATTCTATTTAAAGTTTATTTTTTTTTTACTTCACATACACAAATATACATCGAAACTAATGAAACACGTATCTTGTGACAAAAATTTAAAACTGTTGATATTGAATTTGCCTAATTTACCTCCAAAATCTGTGAAAATAAAACATCAACCAATTGATTCTCAGCTTTCCACGTCCATTCTTCATAGCCTTCAGTGTCAGATATGACAACAGCAGTCCGCTAGATAGATAGATAGATAGATAGATAGATAGATATCTGTGTGTATGATTTTGATTGAAATTAAATATTGATGGCTATAAGTTTGCAACAATTACCTCAAAGCAAAGAAAGAATCGACGGAAACTAGGGCGTTAGAGACGGCTTGAAAGGTCCAGCGTTTGATCGCTTGATATGCAGAACTTGTATTACCTGTAACCAACAAGGTTTTATTGTTTCTATACTGTGGGTGCATGTAAAAAGTATGGTTATAATACGCGATAAACTTGTCTGAAACCTGTCAAAGAAAAGTACTTTATATGAATTCATGATTAATTATTCTTCAAATTGATGTGCTCTAAACCCACATACTTGCGTCATTCATGCTAAAAGCATAGGTGTGTCCTAGAACAACCCAGGAGATACTGAGAAATCGTATCCCATTTAACGCTGTCAGTGTTCCCGCGGATTGATTTACTTGGAGAATCTTTTTCCCATTAGAGAGAGCCGAAAACGAAAGTATCAGTTTCTCTAGTGTTGCTGTAAAGATTTCAATGTGAAAAAAATATAAGAGATTTATAATAAAACTTCTAAACTTTATGGTAAAATTTGAGAATAAATTTATTTTGCGATCCGTGCATGTAATTTGGTTTGTTTTCTCGTTTCTTTCATTCTTAACCTGTATTTATCTAATTATCTACTTTTCTGTTTATTTTTAAAATTTGATGAAGTTATGGTTTACTTACAGTCCTCCTTTTGTGTAATATTTGCCTTATCCTGCATCAACAAAGGACTTTTTTCGTTATGTAAAGCTGTCTCTGCAGATTGTTCTATTGGTGTGGGTTTTAAAGAATTCAGTTGGGGCTGTTGCAACCAATGTTTGATGATGACATCATATGCTGTGCTTGATAATATTAAGGCGGCAAATATTCCGAGTATAACTCTGAAAATGTAAATTTGGATCTTTTTTTTAAATATCAAAATTAAAACAAATTCTATGAATAATGACCTAGATCTTTTCTTGTAAAAATTTTGGAGTTCTTCATGTTAAACCGGTTATTCTTGAAACAAAACAATAAATAATTTTACAAGGTCATATCATACTATATTCCATTATTGCTTACTGAACAAATTTATTTTACTCACATAGCAACGATGGCTCTTGTGTCAATTTCTGGTTTCTCGTGGCAATATACATATTTAGCACGTATTGGATTGGCTGTAGGTCGAAACCTCTCAATTGTAGCAAATACTAAAATGCACAGACACATTATTAATAAACGATATATATTGAAAGTCTTTTTTAAAAAATAAAATGAATTGAACATGTGGCTGTATACATACAGTCGTTGTAAAGTTTCATTATATCCCTCGGTGAACAAGCTTTTGGTACACACAGCCCCGTATCTACCTGAAAAAAAATTGACATCGTGGTTTTCTTCCATGATAAGGAATAATTTTCATAATGTTATTGTCATATCAATTATTTTCCTCTGACTTACCTCCAATGGAATATATTGCAATTTAACTGGAATGTGAGCAAAACAGAATTGTGTCTCAACTGGTTCGAAGTAAAAGTGTTTCACGGGGGCTTCCAGATTAAAACATTCGTCAAATGACCCAAGCCACTTTGAATGACCGTCTATAACCCCAGGTTCAATTTTGGCGGACGCGTCAAGCACTGAAGACACAAAAATTAAATTGTATGGTCATTTCATACATATAGTTTAGAACACAGAAACGCCAATATATACCAAAAATTTACTTACTCTTTAAAGCCCAGAACTCATTTATGGTCAATGCAGTCATTGTCCAATTCCAGCTCTCTCGACAGCTTTCAGATACAGTGTAGTTGTCGGCTAGTAGGTTTGGTCCTTCTTCTGTTGATGACGTAAGAAAACCATTGTTTGAATCTGCTAACGATTTTAAGAAAGTGACGTCATGTACCTGATTGATCACTGACTTTAGTTCTAACAATTTGTATGTGTTATTTCTTTGTGGTTTTGGATTTAATTTTCTGAGATCAAACGACACAAGTTCTTCATAAGATGGAAAAGGAACATCCGCACCACAAATCGAACACAAGGCGATAAAAACAACGCTTAAACCTGACGATTTCATATTGAGATGTTGACTGTTGTGTATTAAGGTATTGCGCATAGACTGATTTCAGAGTTTGCTGTTCAATATATAGTATGCTGACCGTGTTATCTTATTATCCTACCCTTGTGACGAAATAAAACTTATGCCTATTTCTGTGTACTTGATCATACCTATGTGTAGTGATTAATAGGGCAAAATGATATCATTCACTTAAAGGCCTGTTATGAAAATAAGTTTTGCACTTATATAAGCTGCAATCGCTATGTTCGCTATGTTTCGAAAATGATTAAATTAATAATGCACATGTATTTTGAGTGTTTATAAAGTATTCTATGAAAACTATACTTTGTCCTCTTACAAATTATACTCATGTTTTCAAACTGTAATAAATACCGGTAATGTGCCTAAATTAGAAAAAAAGGTTTTCTGGACTATACTGTTGTAAAATTCCATATCGATCTCTGCAAAAACATTAGACTGAGTTATTTCAGTTTAAAATACAGCTGTAAGTGTACTGCTATTTGACAAATATTTAATTGGACACCCTCCTCTCTTCCACAGCATATATTTATATCTTCACACTATTTAATGACTTCATATTTTAAAAGGCCAGAATTACTATATAGTAATAAAAACATCACCCATTAAATTATTAATCAATAACTTTTGATAAAACGTTATCATCGTTATTCCATTTCCCATGTCGTGTAGATGATATTTATCGGCCTGGTGTAGGAGATGTCTCGACGCCATCACATTTGTTTATCTACAGATACGTCCTTATTATTGCAAAATGAATCACACGATGCATTTTTATTAAATTGGGAAATGCTACTCATAATAAAGCAGTTTGAATTCAAAATTATAAATGTGCAAATTTTATATTAATATTCTTTAAATGCTTATTAGGTACATGTAAAACAATTAAATTCCTTAAATTATATTCTCTTACGATTTCTATAACAACTAGAAAAATGTCCATAGGATGTGATTGTCCCGCCCAAGGTACAATTGTATTGCAAAATGAAAAGAAATGTACCACCCTTATTTGGTCATAGATTATAGTAAAATATTATGAAAGTTTAGTTAGTTTAAGTATTTCTTCCTGCTGGTCTTGTGAGCCATAATGCATTAGGTGAAAGTTATCTTTCATTAGCCACAGCCGTTACACTTTAATATCCAAAATATTTCTTACAATGTAGGATTTACAGAGAGCGGACAAATTGAAGCGACTTGCTTCATTTTATGTAGGAAATAATGCAATGTTTCTACAGATTGTAGAGCAAGGTCTAGATAATTTATAAACAATAGATATTCATCTTTGAAAAAGGAAAGTTGCAAAAATAGTCTATATATTCGTTACCTTGTTGATTTTACTTTGTAGTCTGTTTTATACAGTAGATACCCAACAATAATTCTTTCTAATAGGTTCTTTCCTACAGTGAGGCCTGATTTAATAGTTGTTAAAGTAGTCCAATCTTCTGATGAATAGAAATGAACAGTTTCTTTGCCTACAAACAAAAGACCGATCACGTGACCATTGGAAAAAAATGTCTGCTTACGGGACAAAATTTCTTTATTTAACCTTCTTAGTTCACTCCATGATGAAACATTTTTTATCCAATTAAGTAGACGGTTTGACCACTCTTTTGTCCTGCGATTCAACTTTCACCGACTTCTCATTATTTTTAATATGCAATTGCAGAACCGCATGCTAACGATTGAAGCGAAACAAATTAGTGCACATCACTACTTTAACTGTCTTTATATTTATTGTTGACCAACAATAACTATTTTTTTTAACCCTCTAATTTCTTTCTCTGAGGAACAAACGTGAACTTGAGGATGTTATTTTGGAAAGTGAGAAAGTTTACACAATAAATGCATGACGGGGTTAAATCAAAATACTCTGAGAACAAAAAGCTAGGACTACAGAGATTGTAACTGAATTCTACTAGTGTCTTAATTACGTAAAGTTACGAATTCTAATGGATAAATAGACTTACAACAAATACAATGGAATAACCATCAGCGGACTTAATACGAAAAACTGCATATCATTAGCAAGGTACCATGAAACACCAAAGCACTAGAAATTGAAATGATGTAACATGAATGTTTGAATAGTACAATGTAGATGAAAGGTGTATTTATTCATACAATACGAAATGCGTGTACCAAAGCGGCATGTTGTAACAATAGAAATAAACAATATATGTTTAAGTTGTTGTGGAAAGTACATTAAATTTTTGGAAATTTAATGTAAAGCAAAATATTAAGGTATGTCACTCGTGAAATTTGTTATATCAAGGATTTTTTGAGAAGTATATTTTGGATAAGTACTCATATAGTATGACTCAAAATCGCAGAGAAAATGGGGGGTCAGTGTGCATCTAATGAGCTACGGTACAATTAAGTTGACCTTTTTGCACTTAAATTGTAACACTTTTGTAATCACTTTAACCGTTATCATATTTTATAAGATGTAACTATGGCAATAAACATAATCTTATTTTACGTAAAATAGTTTGAATAATATTTATCATTGAACAAATTATCATTGAACAAATCATGCAAATTAATGCGCGTAAATTATTGTGTGACCTTTTTGCACTAAAATAACTCATATTTGGGGTATTAAAAATCTAAATAGGCAATAGAATATTTTCTTGTATCAAACTTTTTACGACTTAAGTGCTGATCGGTCAAAAGTATCGAGTAGTTTAAAATAATGAAAGAAAAAGTTGGGGTCAGTGATGTAAATTTTGAATTATTGGTCAAAATATGCGATTTTCAGGCAAAAAACTGTGTAAATTTTATCTCGACTTCCTATATATATCTTCATTTCTTGGCAATGTTTGTTGAGCGAAGGTCTAAATTTTATTATAAAAATATAAATTGAGACCTATATTTAATATTCCAGACATATCATAACGGAAAATATTCTCTGAGTAAAAGTATGTGAGGCTAAGGTTCCAAGATATTAAATTTAATAAATGTGTAGATTTGCAGAATTTTCTGCTAAATATCCTTACGCCACAAGAAATAGTCCCTTATAAATCTTGCTTCTTTGTGAATTTTTGAGCAGTTTTTTAATTGAATGTTGAACATTTTACATTGTTTAATTTAAATATGTTATAAAGATTGAATTGTAATAAATAGTTTTTAAGTAAGAGGTTCTGACTGAAATTTTCTAAAAGGCTGACGAGTGATATACCTTAATGGTCATGTTCAAATAAACCAAAATTAAGCTAGTTTTAATTAGCTCTATAGCTGATCATTGATAACCTGATCTTTATCAAACAAGTTATTGATATAAAGAATGTTTCCCCACCATGTGTTTTTACAAAAATCGGACTCAAACCCAGTCTTTGGCCACAACAGTCCCTCTCTAAAATAAGGGCTAAGACAGGCACTGATCATTAGCATACTAGTTACCATGTATACAGGTGTTAATCTACAAACAAATAAAAATAACTTTTTTGTTAAAAATTTATCAATGTAGAAGGTCATTAAATCTAAAAAGAACCCTGTATTTTGCTTTTTTTGTGCATAAGATAAGAGAAAATATATGTCAAATTGCTTTAAAGTTTGAGGAAGGCACGGGGGGGGGGACAAAGATTTTTCATTCACCAAAAAAAAAAGTTTGATGTTACATAAAGCGATGGGTAAAACAATAAATTAGAAGATTGCTGCTGGTTTTTTTTTTTTTTTTTTTTTTTTTTTTTTTAAATCTTTAGAGGATCAGATGTAATAATAAAAAAGCAAGAGATTCGTATACAAAGTATTGATTGTTATTAATTTGATTGTTTTTAATTTGTCCAAGAAAAGAAAGTTTTAAACTTTTTCTTTCTTTTCTATTCAAGCAGGAAATAAGGCAAGAACAGTAAAAATATATCATTACATTTTTAATTTTTGTTTTAATTTTTAGTTTGGCCTTTTACTTACGTAAAATACATGAATATATGAATATACATCGGCAGAAACTAACGAATATCTTTTGACAAAATATAACATATATTTTGATTTTTTAATTTGCCTCCAAAATTTGCGGAAATAAAACATAAATCAAGTGATTCTCAGCTTTCCGTGTCCACTCTTCATAGCCAAACCCAAAATGTTTTCAACTGGGTTTAAGAATGGACTATTTCCCGACTGCAGAGGTTAGATACTGCATCGGGTTTGAGAAAGTATCTGGTACTCAGAAAGATATAATGAAAGATGTAGGTACCATGTATGCTTGTTTAGTATTTCGCAGAAAATTATTTGTATTTATTAATTAGCAAAAACACCATTACTCATAAAAGTACAAAAAAAAATTCTCAATGCATTTTCTACACTACCGTTGCCGGAAAACAGTCCCGATTTTAGCATATTGAAAAAATTTTGATCGAATAAAGAAGATCCTTGCTCAAATATAACGAACTGAGGAAGGTACTCCATCGGAAATATATAGTACTCAAATTAAACAATTCTGCAAAAACCAAATTCATAGCAACTGTATTTTGTGCAAAAAATGGTAGTATTTAATACTAGAAAGTAAAATATCAACTACAAATAAAAAATTACACTGAAGTGGCAAAATTCGTTTTTGTTGTCATATATGCTAAGTAGCAATGCAGGTTTTTTTTTTTGTTTTGCTTTGATTTTTTTTTTTTTATTTTTTTTATTTTTTTTTTTTAAAAAACGTGTCTATAGTTTCTTACAAAATGCAAGTTCGGTTTATATATATATATATATATATATATATATATATATATATATATATATATATATATATATATATATATATATATATTTCATAGTGCTTCATTGAATGAAGGAAACTTATGTATAGTACGTAGCCCAGGATATCAAAATAGTCAAAGAAAAAAATATCTGACACAGTTTTTCTCCGAATACTACAAATTAAGTTTGAGATTTTCTTCCCCATAAACAGTATCTTTAGAAAAATTAAAGGTTCTTTAATGTATTTTTACGTCAATGTCCATATATTAAGTGCAGAAAAGAGATTTACCCATGTTCTGATCATACTATACCGTTTTAATGAATTGAAATATGGAGGTAACGAACAGTATTCAAGCTCAAAGTCCATTTAAACAATACAAATCGGGAACAGAGCAAACACAGACCTCCAAAAACATCAGGGGTAGGATCAGTTGCCATGGAGGCGTGAGCATCCCCTGCTCACACCCGCCGTGTGCTCCTTGTCATGATCGAGAAAAAATGAAAAAAAAATCCGAAGGGGGGGGGGGGGCAATTCAGTGTGTAAATAATAGCCTAACAATTAGTATGAAAAACGTCAGTCAGCATTTGACTTAATGATAGATTGTATTTGTTGAGAAGATCATTGTTTAGACCATAGAACTTTAAAAATGATGACTTCAAACGAGACTGTTGATATCCTCGTTTCATCAACTTGTTTGTCAATAGATTGTCTCGTTTTAGAAATTGTTCATATGTAGAGCATGCTCTTGCCTATCGAATCAACTTGGAGACAAAAACCCCATAAGCAGGTGATAAGGGTATTTTGCTAGATAAGTAAAGGAAGTTGACGATTGAAAAATTAAAAGTCATCACGTTTATCATAAAGCTTTATTGGTAGGTTACCATTAAAGTTTTTTTCTAGTAAAATATCCAAATATGAAACATATATGTCAGACTCTATGTATCTTTTATTTCAAGCTCACTGGAATATATCGAGTCGACATATGAATGGAAAAAAACTATTGTTTATTGATAATACGTCGTCCATATATCTAAATGTCGAGCTGAAAGCAACAGCAAGTGTTTTCTTCTTCTCATGAAGAAGTTTTTGAATAAATTCTGCTTCATATGAATACAAAAATAGGTCTGCTAATAACGGGGTACAATTGGTACCCATGGGAATTCCAACAGATTGTTGGAAGACCTGATCTCCAAAAACTACAAAGATATTGTCAATCAGAAACTCAAGCATCTATTTTATATCAACTTCAGAGTACTTGTGTGTACAATCAGAATGTTTTAACAAAATAATTTTGCAAATGACCAATGACAAGCTAAGTATTTTTACAAGTTCCATTTTTATTAAAAACAGCTGTTTATAAGTATCCACATCTGATTTACACTACTTCCCGAATATACTGTTGTACAATACTCCTGAAGTTTCTCCTTCACTGATGTATATATTTAGTGAGGAGTAAAGAAAGAAGCTTAGTATAGAACATTTACTGGAACCCGCTATGTATCTTTGTTTGTGAGGATTTTTATGGAGTTTTGGAATCCAGTATAGGTATGGTAATTCAAATGCATATTGATTGTTGGGAATATTAAATATATTTGAAACTGACATACGGTTTTGAAGAATTTCCTCTTTAGAAAGGGAGCTATGGGTATATTGGATTACCACTTGCAGATACAATTAAAATAATGAGCCTTACAAACAAAGACAATGTTGTTACCTGCTTTGTCAGCTGAGAGTCTGAGACCAGTACATACTGATCGTGTATAATAGGTTTAATTGTAAGACCGATGTCCATGACTACCCTTACGTCTCTTTGTACTGTTAAAAAGTTCCATCACATTCACATTGCTACACTGTGAGCTTGAAAGATTCCAAACACTATCGACATGGTCATTGGTACCATATGGAAAGACCGTATCTAGTTTTCTAATCCAGTATTCTCCTCGTTGTGTACGGAAAGATGTACTCAGTGATGGGCTATTCATTTGATGGTAAATCTTTTCTAGAATCATAACTTTCATTGAAAAAATAGAATGATCGGATAAATTAAATTGCTTGTATAGAAGCTGCTGGCCCTCGTTGTTAATCTGAAATCTATGCCCTGATATTCTTTTTTAAGTGAACCCATGCTTTCACAACATAAATAAGCCCCCAATGGGTACATCCTATTCTGTAGACAACATTACAAGATTTGAAATTCAGATTTTCCCAAGTTTTGGTATAGAAGCTCTGTCCAGTAAGATTACAAGAAAACGAAGAGCTAGTAATCAAAATATCACGAGTTTAACAGTTTTTGACAGAACATTTTGAAATTAGAACATATGGGATCGGAATAGGAATTGTCAAATAGACCTCTAATAGAAAATTTACATTCTTTCAAATTTTTGTAAGAACTGTTGGTTCTATATCATAACTGTGAATCTGAAGACTGCATATATGACATACATGTATGTGTAATATCCCGGAGGATAATCCGAGGGACACTGATTGAACTCTAAGAGTCAGTGTCCCTTATAGTCTCAACTTATTTTAAAATGCTGATGTTGTGTAGGATTTTACTTAAAATCCTGATGTTATGAAGAGTTTTACTTAAAATACTGATGTTGTGTATGGTTTTACTTAAAAATCGATGTTATGTAGGGTTTTGCTTAAATTACTGGTCATGTGTAGTGATTTTAGATGTGACTCTGTTTTATCAAAAATACTGATTTGCAACAAGATTATTTACTGTTGGTAAAGGTTACTATTTACTATCCCCAAGAACAATTGCCTGTACGTAAAAATCATATCAAATTAGAAAAAAAAATCTGCTTACTAATTGATTAATACCAATTTTATATTGCTTTTAATATTGAGCTCAATGCCAGCTAAAACTATCATCTAAATGAGACAATGCTACTGAAACTTGGCTGTCAGTAGTTAAAAATACCGACTTGCTCTCATCTGCATGTACATAATTCTACAAGAAAGCAACGCAATAAATAACGTTTTAAAACTTTTTATTAACAATAAAATAAAAACAAATTGTAAAAATAACAATTAAAAGAAACAAAAACACATAGTGTTCAAAGTGTCAGTAACTCTGTATAAAAAAAATACTAAAAATGCTTTTGTTTACTGTGCCCGCTGTCTTTTCAAGATAACTTTCTCTAAACCCATCATTGGTGCCTCAAATGATAACGAGGCTACAAATGCTGACATTGTGGACAGGACGAGATGGCCCAGGAAAATATTTACCTGTGAACAAGAAAAAAAATCCCCCCATATTGATTTCAATTAGATATTTATATTTTATTAAAAATACATATGCTACAAACGCATAAAATAGACACTGTAGAAATTATACTTTATTCCAAGTACATAGCTATATATTTGTTTCTATATTTTATTTTAAAAATGAATCTTCTCATTTTCGATATTTACGTACATAGACCTTCCAAAGATATGGGACACTTACAATGTTAAAGTCGTCCAGGTATAGCTGAGTTCGTTGAGTCCCTGAGTAGGTGGACATAATGAAAGGATGAGTTAGATATATACAGTAGGAGAGACGGGCTAGCGGCACAAACGCTGACCACGACAGCAGAGTGTTGACAAAACCTACCATTCACAAAATAAATGAACGTATAGCTCTAACGAACAGAAACTGTGTAAATATTTAGTAATGTCAGGTGATATTGTCTTGCTCGTTCATCAATAAACACGTACGTGTAAAAGTAACAATATCTTCGTTTGACGTCAATATTGTTTTGTAATGACGTAATTTAGGTACATATAGGAAAATAGAAAAAGCTACGCTTTAAAGGAATATGTTTTAATTACCAAATATTGCAAATATAAATCAACTAAACATCCCACCTCCATTTCCTGTGGCACATGCAAATATGACCCAGCACACGCACGCTCCCCAGACAATTTTGTGAGTGGCGTTGTAGAGAGCCGACACGTCACGATTGAGGGCATCCTCCGGGTAGACAAAAGCATCACGTAGTCCATAGAGAACTAAGATAGCAAGTGTTGCAAAGATGAACCACAGCAACAAGTTCAAGTACTAAAATAGAAGATGGAATTATGAATTCTTTTTTACGTGTCCCTCTAATGAAAAATATAATGAAGAATATGGATAGAAAATTTTACAAGAAAAATTTAGAAGGTTTGCAAAATGGAACTTCTTATCCAAATTGCTCTCTCTCTCTCTCTCTCTCTCTCTCCATTTAATACTCTTTCAAAATTAATGAAATCTTTTATTTTAGAAATTGCTCAAATACCTTGTTGATTTTGACTTTACAATCTGTTTTGTACAATAACGATCCAACAATTATTCCGACAATATAAGGTCCCATTCGACAGTACGGTCTTATGTAGTAGTCAGACATGTAATCTGCTCTCCCTCTGTATAAAGTGACATAATTAAAGAATATTCCTCGAAGATTTCATAACCGTTGCATATGAACATTGTATTATGATTTAAATGATGTTGCAATTTTAAGAATCATATTTTGCATTCAAGTAAATAAAATGATGACTGAGTGCAATTTTAAGAATCATGTTTTGCATTCAAGTAAATAAAATGATGACTGACGTAAGTTAAATGTAGAGCTCTAGACTTACTCGGGAGATCCACCTCCGCCTGCAGATGATGGTGGGAGATCCAAAACACTGGACACCACACCTGGTGTGATAGCAGATCCCAACAGCCAAACAAAACAGACACCTATCCCCAGCGGGTAATAACTAGTTTGGAATACATGAATATTAGTTTGAGGCATATTGCTTCTTTGAAATATGTACATAAAATATGAAATTTTCAAGAATTTAAACGAAAACAACTTACAAATACAATGGAATTAACATCAATGGACTCAGGACAAAAAACTGCATATCATTGGCTAAATACCACGACACACCAAAGCACTACCAGAGAAAAAAAATGTTAATCTGCATACTTCATCAACTTCGTAAAATCACTATATATACTTCAAATAATTTACAAACAGGATGATAAGCATCATGTAGTATTACCGTACCGGTTCAGTGTTATACAAATTATTAATGTAGAGCAGGTTTCTCCACCACGTATTTTCACAGTAATCCTTTTCGAAGCCTTGCTCTGGCCACAAGGGTCCGTCTCCGAAGTATCGGCTTAGACAGGCACTGATCATCAATAATAACATATACACAGGGGTCAATCTAAAAAAGAAAAACACTTGAATTGCAACTTAATGTTACTTGCACACATATGAATTCATTATTATTTTTCTAAATGTCAAAATTAATGCAACCTTTGATTTTACAACAAAAGAAGAGAAATATTTCTCAAGATTCGACATTTATGTCTAAAGAAATTGAAATCAAATAAATTTTGAACTAAAGATAAAATAACACTGAAATGCATTACCTCCAGAATCTGTGGAAGTAAAACGTGAACCAGTTGATTCTGAAGAATCCCTTTCCTTTTTTCATTTCTCTGAGAGTTAGGTAAGCTACTAACAAACCACTAAAAAGGAATGAAAATAGTATGATGAAATCTTTATGTTTGCAGCATGTATTGCAAAATGTTTCTTAATTATTCTGAAAGTTGTAATTTATCAACATGGGTTAAATTTATATCTAAAGGAGACATTTGGAACATTAAGCAATTGTCAGGATGATTCTTATTAAAAAATGTTTCAAAAATGAAATAAATAAATACAGACGGAAAATGAGTGTGAAAACGTTACCTAAGAGCAAAGAAAGAATCCACTGACACTAAAGCATTAAGGACAGCCTGAAAAGACCATCGCTTCATGAATTTTGGTGCAGCTGTATAGTAGTTCCTAAAATTGGTGATTGTGAACACAAACGAATGGCCCAGTACAACCCAGGATATGCTGAGGAACCGAATTCCGTTCACTGCAGTTAATGTTCCGGCAGACTGATTGACTTGTAGGATTTTTTTCCCATTTGAATATAACGAAAAGGAGAGAAGGAGCTTTTGTAGGATAGCTAAAATATGAATAACAAAATAAAACAATTTCTATAATTCTTGTGACAATTTCATTACAAGAAGTGTCTATAATTTTTGACACGATTTCGTTATAAGATAAACGAATAATTCTATTCAGCTTCAATCGCACTGAAAAAAATTCCCAAGATGTGCGATGTAGTATCGTATATTACAATGGAAATAAACAGTGTATTGCTTTATTTAAACAACAACAATAACAGAAAAACCAATCCATGTTAACTTAAAGCCAAATATAAAAAGTTATTCTTACATTCATTTTTGGGGACCAAGTTCTCTCTCTCGTGCAGAAGGGGTGTTTTTTCATCGTTTGTCGATGCATGCTCCTGTAATGTCTGGTCCCTTTTCGTGGGCCATTGAATGAAAATGATGTCATACAATGTACTAACTACTAAAAGGGCAGCAAATATTCCTAGAATGACTCTGGAAGTAAATCATAAAACGAATGATAATCCATCCAAAAGCAATTATCTATATAAAAAATTGTTTATTGATAATTTCACTTAATTCAGCTTAGAAAGAAGGACATAAGTTTCTTTCATACAGTTTTCGTTGTAACTATGATCAACGCTGTTGTATCACAAACTCTAATACCCAAAGTACTAGTTAGATATATATCTATGTATAATACTTAAAGGGACATTAACTTACATTGCTACAACGGCCCTTGTGTCAATTTCAGGTACTGCTTTACAAAAGGCATTGGTTATACGAATCGAATTTTTAATTTGAAGAAGTTTTTCTATCATCGAGAACACTGTAAGTATAAAGATTTCATTTTGAATTTTTCATGCAAGATAAAATATAATGATTTAAAACGCACTTTAATACTTACATTCATTAGCGAGATATTTCAGATCTTCAGTTGAACATTCTTTAGGAATACATACAGCAACATACACCTGTAAAATAGACACAAACATCTAACAATTAAATTTACATGCATTTGATTATTTTCTAATTCGTTTTGATACCTACTTAAAACCTTACACTGTGTTTAACAAATAAGTGTTGCGTGAAAGATTAAGGTGAAAAAACTAAGTGACACAGCCAGTGTGTATATACATAATATGTCTTTTCTATGGTATTATCGAGAAAAACTTACAGTTAGGGGAATATATGCGATTTTTATTGGTATTTCGACAGCACAGAAATGTGTTTGCATTCCACTATTGGAGGGAGGCATTCCTGGTAGAGTCTCGTCTATTTGGAAACACTCGTCATAAGATCCAAGCCATATAGTATTACCTTCTAAAATACCCGAATCTATTTTGGCTGAAGCGTCCAACACTGGAAACACAAAAAAGGTACATGTATCATCAGAAACCCGGAAGACCATGTTAGAACTGACAATATGTATCTTTTGGGTGAAAATGAAATCAACATGTTCGCTTACTTTTAAGAGCCCAGAATTCACCATTAATTAATCCATTTATTGTATGATTCAACTGGCTGCGGCAGGTTTCTGATACAGTGTAATTTTCGGCAAAGAGCCCCGAGCTTAATCCCAAGGAGTCTCTGTCTCCAGATTCGGCCATGTTCTTTAGAAATTCTGCATCAAGTGCGTTGTTAACTAACAGTTTTAGCTCGGAAAGCGCTTTTGTAACATTTTTATTTTGAAGTCCTTGCGGATAGACCTTAAATGTCAACCTGTCTTCATAAGAAGGAAAATCGCTGAATGCCAGAGATTGCACAAATATCGTGGCTGAAACTAAAACAACTGACCAAGACATTTCTAATATCAAAAATTTACAAGAAATCTGAGGTAGTAGGGCAAACCACGAGGGTATTTAAATAAATTCTGTAGTCAATAATGGGGACAGTTTAATTTGTAATCTCCACGTGACACTGCTTTTGTGAATGATCTTTTATTTACATTTCCAGTGGAGTATATGTTGATAGAGCGAGGGTCGATATGGCTATGAATCACGGTCACTTGCGAAATGCAAACAAACTCCATGTTACACTCAAGAAAGTTAATAATAATTCATTAAGTCTTCCGCAAACGCCTGCTGCATTTAAATTTTCATCCGCATTCACCTGTTCCTGTAGGTTAAACCTTAATTTTTCAATAAGTCGCTCGAGAAATCGGTTTTTGTGAAGGATAAAAATCTAAGACTTTTATCCGAATGTGTAATGGAACATAACTCGTACACTTTTCAAAATATAGTGAATATTTGTTTGTTGAACTGCGAACGATAGTATTGTTCTGCCGCTTAACTCCAAGTCAATTTTTAAAAGATAACATATTTGAATGAATTTTTATATTTATAGATATATTTATGTGAATTTTCATAAATAATAACTTATTTGGAAAAAAAACAAAGAATTATAACTCTATGATTTTGGTCAAACTTGCGTTTTTTTACTATAGTAATCAACGAAAAACGGAAAACATTTAAAAAATATCCACCCCAGTGAAACAAAAAATCCTTTTTACAGGTATTATGGAGTATTATTTTGTACAAATTCATACCAATTAAAGCTTTTTTGTGTTTCACGGGGGGGGGGGGGGGGGGATATGTTTACAGGCAAAAAATCAGCAAAAATGGACATTTTTTACCGATTTCAAATGACATAACACATTTAAAAAATGTATTTTAGCAATATTGTACATTGAATTTTACACAATTTTAACATACGGAAAGATTTAAGGGTCATTTATCAATTTCCATGCATATTTGAAAATTTGCTGATTTTTAGAGCCTGATTTCAATGGATAAAGTCTTTCACCCCTTTAAGAAAAGAATTGTAAAATAAAACAACTTTTTGATGCTAGTTTTAAATAAATAAATCAATTACTTATGTACTATTCTTTGTATTAAAATAAGTTTTAATGGCCTCAATTCAAGTTATATTGATTTAAATGGGTTTAAAATGTAGGCGGGAATCGAGAGTTAGCGTTCGTTGTTCTTTCTGATGTCTTGAGTTAATGTTCAAATTTCTTGCTCTTTTTATTATTTGCATAGAATGAATGGGAATTTTAAGACAAATCATCAGAGCTCATCAATTTACCATTAATGTCTAACAAATTACCAAATAAAATGAATCCCTTTTCATACAATGGTCTTGAATATACATACTTATTTTAAACTATAATTTTATTATTATAACAGAGGTTCCAATAGAATATCTCCTTGGTTCGAGTCGCGTGTTATCATACTCAAAAAATCTTAAAATACATGAAATATTGCTTTCAAAAAACATAAGTAATCAAAGATTTCGAAGCTCACCTCGACGAATGTTATCTTTAAGTAAGGCAAATTTAACATCATATTCTTTTTTTTTAATTAATGTACATCCCAAGATCAATATCAATGCAAGTTTGGTTTAAGTACAACTTACAATTACTTGGAAAGAGACCTGTTCAAAAAAGTTTATCCTGTTTACTAATCAAGAAAATTTTGATCAGTTCCAACATCCAAAGTAAGTCTGGAAGTTTTCATCCTTAGATGCACCATCTATGCAAGTTTAATCATAACAGGCCATAATGTTGTATAGCTACTCCTTATCCTGGTCACTCATCTGGAAAATGTAGGTGAAATATTTGGAGATAACGAACAGTATTCAAGCTCAACAGTCCATTAAACATTACAAAATAGGTACAGAGCAAACACATCCCTAGATGCATCATCCATGCAAGTTTGTTCAAGGTAGGGCTAATATTTACTTGGGAATGGACCTGCTCCGAAAACTTTAACCTGGTCACTCATCTGGAAAATCTAGGTCAGATCCAGCATCCGAGGCAAGTGTGGTAGTGTCCATCCTTAGATACACCATCCTTGCAAGTTTGGTCCAGGTAGGGCTAATAGTTACTTGGGAATTGACCTGATCCAAAAACTTTAACCTGGTCATTCAACTGGAAAATCTGGGTCAGATCCAGCATCCGAAGCAAGAGTGGTAGTGTTCATTCCTAGATGATGCATCCATGCAAGTTTGGTCCAGGTAGGGCTTATAGTTACTTCGGAATGGACTTGCTCCTAAAACTTACCTAACCGGGACGCCGACACTGACGCTAATGTCGGGGGTATAGGATAAGCTCATCTCGACTTCGTCGAGGTGAACCAAAAATTGTGTTCTTTGCTTTAACTCTTGAATATTCTGGCCCAAAATGGGACAGGTGTACAATATTATACTTTGTTATTTCAGTGAACAGTAGAATCTAAGCAGAGTTTCTAACAATCTTCTGAACAAATTCAATTTTAAGAGGGCTGGGTGGTTGTGGCCATTTTCAGACTATATTGATCTCCTTTAGAAGAAGAGCTCCATATAAAGATATACAAAAATTATCAAATTTTAAAACTAAAATGTATGAAATATTTGTTTGCCAAATGATAGTTGACAGCTTAAGATATCATATCTAAAAAATTAAGTTACATCTGATGGTTAATTTGTTGACCCCCCAGCCTCCTTAAAGATTTGATAAAACAGTCAATACCTTATTATTTTGAGACCACCATCCTCTGTGGAAAATGCATTGTTTTCTCAATGTTTTGCTCTCCGTGAGCAGAAGGTCGTGTGTTCGAATCACGGCCTCGACTGACCTAAGTCAATTAAAGCAACTGTACCTTCGCCAAGCACTGGGTACTCTGAAGTGAAAGTTGTGAGTCTTTCGGATGACACCTTAAAAACCGAGGCCCCGAGGCGTTGGCACGATAAAGAACCCTCACTGCTCAATGGCTCTGAGTGCCGAGTAAAAGTCTAAATTTGAAGCCCTTCACAGGTATATAGTGATGTCTCTATATGAGTGAAAAAATCTCGAACAGGACATAAAACAACATACAATCGATCAATCTTAATTTCTGCTCTGTTTTGTTATTCCAATTAAATTTAGAGAAAAGTTTTTTTCCAATTCTTTTGTCCTTTTCTGTCTGCCTTTGGAAGAACAGTAAACAAATATGTTAGTTTGGATAAGAGTAAATTTTTTAATACTGTAATTTTTCAAATGGAGATGCATAATTTCTTTTGGACCATGAAATAGTCTCCTATTTAATGCTTTGAAAACATTTCTCAAAATTTAGTCTTTCCATATTTTTTTCGGATCAGCAATGAATGTAATGCCAAGGACTCTGATTGGTTCCACTGTCCACTGAAGTTCTGTTTCACTACATAATGTGTTTCAAGAATTGATTTCCGAACCAACCCATACAGCTTTTGTTTTAATAATATCTGGTTGAAGTCCTGCAAATTTAGAAGATTTAAGGCGCTTTTAAGGGTTTTTTTCCGGAACCATCTAGAAACTTTACCGTGTCATCTGCATATTGAAGTAAAAATATTTTTCCTCTGACATCTATCTTTATTCTCTTTATTCTCTTGAGAGAGAGAGAGAGAGAGAGAGAGAGAGAGAGAGAGAGAGAAGGATCTCCTTGGTGACACCCCCTTGTTACCAGTATTTTGAAAAATTAATGACAATATATCATACTGGATTGCACATAGCTGAATTAGATTATAAAAAACATATATCCGTCTGATAAGATCAGAATCAAAATTAAAAAAAAATTGTTTCGTAAATATATTTCCAAGACATTGAATCAAAATCTTTTTCAAAATAAATATGAGCAAAATGAATGCTGGCATATTCCTTGTATGTACACTTTGGAGTGCATCATAAATTATACGTGTATTTTCACCAATAAATCTATTCTTAAGAAATCCTTTTGGAGTGCTTCATTTGATAATTCAACACACTGCTTATTCTATTTGCAATAAATATAGAAGAAATTTTGCATAAAACATTGGGCAAAGATACTGGAAGACATTTTTCTTAATTCTCTTGGTTTTCTCCTTTTGGTAAAAATATATACAAGTGGAATCCATAATTTATTGATATGATAAGAAACTGTCTAATATCTTCCAAAAAAAAAATGAATTATCAAACTCGGCTGTAAATCCATTGCTTTCTTGGCTTTTATCATTTATCATGTTCTAACGTGTTGTTTAAGCTCCAGTTTTGGTTATTGTAAATCCCACTTGATAAAATGTTTCTTGATTTCAGATTTTAATATACTCCATATTTTAAACACATGTACTTCTAAGTAAATATCATCTTATTTATCATCACAACGAGGATATAAAGTTCTATGAAAGTTTCCAATTTCTGCTAGGATTTCAGATTGCTCTACTTTTATATTACCACTGTCTTGAACAAGTTTGTTTAGTTGTGTTTATGAAATCTTTTGCCAAACTTAAAAATACTCTGTTATTTTTCCCCCTCTTCAATTCACTTTACTTCTGCGCTCACAAGTATTCTTTTAATTAGTTCTTGCGTATATCTTCTAATTTTTTTAAAAATTGTTTTTGATGGTAACAAATCTTAGTACAAGATTTAAATCCATCAGAATACATATACAATTCTGTAAATGTCAAACTATAAAAAGGTATCGGGAGCTCTTGTAGTACTTTTCGCTTCCATTTTTATTTATGACAGAATAAACCAGTAAAATTACAATCTCATCAAAGACTTCTGGTTTAAAATTATGAATAAAAGATAAAGTAGTTTATCGGCGCTTTACGGAAATAAATACTTGTCACCAATATTGAAACATTTATAAATAATCAAGTATCTTGGTATTTCTAGCGCTTCACATTTTTGAGGATTCCGAAACAAAAAACATGATTAATAACATTTAAAAACATATATATCTAAGTAAAGGAGAGGTTCAAGATTTTGAATCTCAACAAAAAAAAGCAACTCTGTACAATATTAAATCCATTTTCAATTCGAAATATCAAATGTATCTATCTGAAAGAAATCAATCTAAATTCATAATACTTTAAAAGGTTTTGTTCATGTTCACATTCTTTGTCAGTGATTTCATTTTTGCAAGCTCTTCGTTCATATCCAGGAGAAGTTGATTCATAATATGGACTTGCCAAACGATGACGATTCCCACAAATAGCATCACCAACACAAATACTCGCACCAGTAAAACCGGAGATTTCTCTTGTTTTGCCGAGTTATTCTTCTTGAATTGTTCCTCTGCACTGTGTTCAACCATTAATCCGTGTTCGGGCATAATAGCTATATCCTTTTGAGTTTGGTATCCTTGAAATGTATTACATTTTGTCAGACTCTGCAAAAAGGAATGAAAAAGTTTTCTTTCTATTGATGGAAAAAGAGAGATCGGAAACAACTATGTATATTATATAAGGAGTTGAATAATTTCACATTAAACCAATAATAAAAATATATCATGTATAGTAAATCAAGATTCTTTTCTTGTTTATATAAAGTGTACATCTAGTGAATTACAAATGAAAACAAAAGACCCAAGGGCCACAACACTCATCGAGCCACCATTTCTCCTTCTAAGTATATTCCAATGAAAAAAAAAAGATCCCTTAACTCCAAGGGGTCGTGAAGTAACAAAAATTGAATCCCTACTTTAATCGAATTCTGAGTATCAAATGAATATTTCTAACGTAGCATTTCTGTTCGTGAAGTTTTACATTTTTCACTCTATATAAGAGGGTTGTCCCAAAATTCCGTAGACAAACGTAGTTTTGTTTTATATGAACACGATGTCATAAATTAATGAAACTTTATAGATAAAACCACCAATAATTAATGAAATAATTGACAAATATTAATTAAAACACAGATGAACCCTATTAAAGAGGGCGGCGCAATACCAAATATTGCAATTGAAAATCGGTATATCATATTAAAAATGCCACAAAAGGTAAAAATAAAAAAAATATATTATATAGTTAACTCTTTTATCGATATCAATTTATAGTATTTTATATGAATCGGTTTGGAATCTTACTTGTTGGAAAATGGTGGCTGTTTTGACACAGGCGGCACAATGGTCTCTGTATCAGAGACGCAAAGGTTTTCCGGTCCTTAGTGTAATAAAAGAGAGAAGCGGTTTTTCTAAGTATATACAAAAAAAGAGACCGACTGAAAGAATAGGGCAATAAATTGTTGTGAAAGTGAAACTGTGCAACTCCATTTGAACAGAACAGGGCAAACACACGAACCCCTGGAAACAAAAGAGGTAGGATCAGGTGCATAGGAGGTGTAAGCATCCCCTGGTTACCGGTCACATCCGCCGTGAGCCGGATCATACTCAGAGCATGCTGTTGCGTATCGAATTACCCCGGTACTTGGGAGACATTTATAAACACTATATGCAGGTGATTTTGGAAAATTTCTACATAAGAGGGAACTTGACTGTGGAAAAGCCCAAGTCATCCCTTTTATCATGCAGTAAAGTTAGTAGTTGGTAATTTACGTCTATAGTCAGTATGAAACAGTTGTGGGGGATTCTCTAGTGTTAACCTATAAATTTTCTGTGATCAAACCGAGACCCCTTTAGCTGCAAAATAATTGTAATTATTGTAATATAAATTTATTCTTCTTACTATTATCATAAATTCGTACAAAACATTTACTTGTAGAAATAAAACTGACAATTTCATTCAATGGTTTAATTATATTTGTCAAAGTTTTTCATAACCTTATGCTTACTGAGATCACTGTCAGAGTTTTTGTCACAAGCAGTGGTTTTTAAGAAATATGAAAATATCGTTGCGATAATTAAATTTAAAAAAAAAGAAAGAAATAATTGTAGAATGTTTTCATTGCCCTCGGTTTTATTTTAGCACCTTTTGAGCTCAAGAACAATAATCACAGTAATTCTTAGTAAATTTCAGCACCGACAGCACAGCAATAGTATTTATCAGACTCAACAGTAAAGACGACAGTATTTATCAGAAACTACTATAATTATCAAAAACAACAGTAATAATATTAGTATATATCAGAATTTATCATGAAGAACAGCAGAGAATCAGTAATTATCAAACATTGTCAATAAGATTTGGGATTCTCAGCATTTTTTTCGCCCAGTATCGAGTGGAAATTTATCCCGTTTATCATCTTTTAATCCATAAAAGTGTGAGGGGGAGAGCACCTTCAGGCATATACATGTAATTATTCTTGTAGAATCATTCCTTTGAATTATATTAAATTTACTTTGCATAAGATAATGACGGAAACACAACTGTTGCATTGATTTAAAGTACTTACAATAAGTTTCTAGAAATAAGAAAATCTGATATTAACATAAATGTAAAAGAGCTAAAATTCTAACATTTGAATTCTAATTGTTCCGTCCTCTTAAACTAAGGGTTTCTAATCAACTCCGCTTCCTGGGGAGCGGAGGGGACCTAAACCCTTGATTTAAGAAGACGGAACTGTTTGGGATCATTGCATTTGATTTTTATCGTCAAATCGTTTTGTCTTCCAGATAATTAATGATTTTTCCGGCCTATTTAAGATTAACTTTAAAAAGTAAAGTTCAGTGCATTTTAACCTAAATCACTGATGCATTAAAACATAATAACAGCAATAAAAACAAAATTGGATTGAAATGTCTTCATAAAAGTGATTATATACAGTCACTCTTAGTCGATAAATCTATATCGACGTCTTGAAAGAGAGATACATGTATATATTTATAACTTAATTTAATGTTAAAAACGATAGCATAGATTCACGAATTAAACAATAACAATTAATATGCATTTGGTCAAGAAATACATGTATTTCTTATTATTCCTGTTAACTTCAGATTTACGCAATAATATTAATTTAGATATAGAGACAAATGTAGTGATCATAACAACTTCTTATACAAGTTAAACACATTACCACACTGCATGATGTTTATGCTAATTAATGTCAAGCAAATTACATGTACATAAGCTTGGCGGATCATTGCTTTATTTGACACAATTTTTTTTATTTCCCCCGGGAAACAACCTAGATTAATAAATGCAGAATTAATACATCACAACTAACCTTAAAATTTTCATTCGATGCGTAGTTTGTCTCAGCAACTTTCAGTAGACCTCGTTATAATTATAACAGGTAAACGTGAAAACTATGTACGATTGAAACCGTTCTGCTCGGATGAATTTAATGATACGCCACAGGGTAAATCATTGTAAAGAGAGTGACAGTCTATATTGTCAAGTTAAAAAAATCGACTTACACGTAAGTAAAAGTCACTGACCTTGTTAAAAAAAGGTTATTACAACACTTTTTATTTCTGTAATAAATTATTTTTATGCCTATTTATCTGAAAAATTTGTTTTGATTTACGCGAATAGAAGTAGAATAAGAGATCACAAACTGTGATCATTCTTCTCCACAAAAGGATACCCTTTCCATTGAACTCTATCTCGTCCTCGTCTTCCCCTACAAATACATCAAATACGTATTTATGTAAGTTAGCTGATTCCTTGATTTCTTGGAAGATAATTGTTAAAATATGTAAATCCAATGCATCTGGCGTTGTCTTTTTTGTTTTTAATTCATTGAAAGAAAAATAGATCATTTACTTTATCTTGAATAAGAAGTTGTGATATAAAAGTAATGATTATCCTGAAACAGCTGCATATATATATATATATATATATATATATATATATATATATATATATATATATATATATATATATATATATATATATATATATATATATATATATATATATATATATATATATATATATATATATATATATATATATATATATATATATATATATATATATATATATATATTCTTTGACGTCATAAATTTATCAGTTGAAGTTTGAAGTTGTCCAATAAAAAGGATCACAAAAACTTTTTTCTAGATCGCAAAGGTAATAATTTCTTCAAACTACTAGGACATGACAAGATTAACTTAGTTCTGATTGACATCAGATTAGCTGTTGATGTTGAAAAATCTTACAAATTCATTTTTAGAGAGAGAGAGAGAGAGAGAGTACCCTTTGATCTTAGCCAAAGGCCGGTTATAACATGTATATGATAATTAAATAACACCTACTACAGCATATTTATTAATTCATAAATATTGATACAATTATAAGTTATAAATAAATTTGTTCATTCATTAAATAAATTTACTAGTAAATGAGTCAACTTGAAGCATCTGGATACTTTTGTTTTAACAATTTTTCTAAGAAATGGAATTCAAAGTTGTTGAAAATCTAATCGTAATTTCATAAGATTTTAATTGAATATTAATTAAATGGATATTTTTATGCTTGAAATTAAAAAAAAATCTTTTTAAAATAACAAAGTACATTTTATAACGTAAAAAAAAGCATTTTAGTACGGTCAGTTACAATCCCTTTCTTTAAATTTCCCCATCCCTGATCAAGATTTTGTTTTCGTTTAAAGCATTTAATTAGAAATATTATTCTTTATGCAGTGTTTTGCTAATATTACAGTGTATATATATGAGTAACCAACTATTAAGCACAGATACGAGTATTTTTAGAGATTCACTGCTTAAAATTGCCTTTGTCAGACAATCAGATCACACTAAGCAATTTTGATCTATTGCTCTAACAATATATCAATGCACGAGTAACATGAAAAGAATTTGAACTCTATTTTTGGTAACTTACCGGTAGGTGGAAAAATGATTTTAATTTTAATTTGCTAATTTCATTTCTAATGACAAATATTCAAGTCAAGGGTATTCAGTCCTTTGGAAGCAGATCGCATAGAAAGCCCTTGGCTTGTAGATAACAAACAGTTATAAGTTATAAAATAAATAATTAAGTTATACAACTCCATTTTATTTTTGCAAATATACCAAAACTTTCTTGCTTCTGGACACAAAATATAAACTTCAGTAAGTCAATGCTATGTTGCTATTTTTCATGCAGAGTAAATCGGAAATGAATACAATAAAATGATTAAACAAGAGTACAATTAGCCTCTAAATCTACCGGTTATATGTTATATATACATGTATATATATATATATATTTTCTCAATGCATAGTAGTTCTGAAGAACATAGTCAACATAATACAAACAGAATTTCAATACCATTTTTGAAAAAAAGGGAAAAAAGGTTGATTAGAGAAAGTTGATCAGGTTTAATTTGTGGATAAAACATAATAATCTCTGCAAGCTCTTTTGATCTGATTTTACATAGTGAACAAGAAATAAAACTTTATGTGAAATATGGAGATAACGAACAGTAATTAAGCTTAAAAGTCCATTGAAACAATACGAATCGGGAGCAGAGCAAATACGTACCTCCAAAAACATAAGTAAACATTCCCTGTCGACCGGGGATAGGAAAAAATGGGAATGGGGGAAAAATGATCAAATATGGTACTAGGTAATGTGATGTTGATTCTGACTTAAGGAAAATGATTTTCAGTATTGTTTTTAACATGAATACAGCATTTGATTAAGAAATCATCAAAAGATTATCATAGAAATTGAAATATACCTAGCATAACTTTGATGTTATCTCATGAAATTTTCCACTGTACAAACCATGGAATTGTTTTTGTTTTGTTTGTATGTTGTTTCACGTCCCTCTCGAGAATTTTTCACTCGTATGGAGACGCCACCACTTGCCGGTGGAGGGCTGCAAGTTTTGTCCTATACTCGGCACTTACGGCCATTGAGCAGTGAGAAATCTTTTTCGTGCCATCACCTACTGCGACACGGGACCTCGGTTTATACTGTCTCATCCGAAGGGCCGGTCTCCACGTCCCACAGTTTGATTCGAACCCGCGACGTAGGGATCAACTCCTTACTTCGCGACTCTAGAGCAGACGCTCTAAGCACTGCGCCAGCGGGCGACCAAACCATGGAATTAAAAAAAAATATTTTAAATTTGGGATAAGCAAATCTCACAGGGTGGTGATATATCAAAGGAAAACGTATATAAAAAATCTGAAATAACTTCTTACGGCTATCTATATACAATCACTATTATGGGATGCTGTTCATTACGGCTGTCTCCATACCATCACTATCACGGGATACTGTTTGTATTACCGATTTTGATAGATTCTGAGAAATTAAAATGTAATGACATACTTTAGATTTTAAAAAAAAATAGACATAAAATTTGCATCGTCACACATGGTTGCAGACGTTTTAATATGAATGCAAATTTTGTGGAGCATATAGGCAAACTGACATATTCCACTGAGCCCTTGGGCCCTCATTACTTGTTTAATTCACGTGTTAGAGAAAACAGCTATTAACAAGGTAATATTTACATTCGAAATATTTGTATATTTTTGTGTTTGATTTTTACCCTTTTATTCATTTAACAGTCTTTGTTTTACGGTGAAGAGAATTTAAATACAGTATGTTTTAAACCCGATAAGGTTATCTATATCTTTAAAATCGAAATTTAATTCTACTTGGATGTTTGGGAAAATCGGAGAACAATGATCATAAAATTCATTATTAGATACATTCGTAAGCACTTTCTTACTATTTACGTCAAAGGCATACTAGTAATTAATCCATAATAGAATTCTCTAGGATAAATAAAAGATATATTGAACATAGATTAAGTACAATTCTAAAATAGTGGTCAGATTTGTAAATAACTTCAAAATTTGTATTTAAAATTACATAGAAACAAATTACTGTATCGCTTCATTTACACGCTAAACACACAAAAACATGACAACACGAACGTCCGTTTTTATGTGAATTGTTCTTGAGTAAATTTTGAAGGTAATTTGAGCAAATATTCCTCCTTTGGTAATCCCCATAATGTATCGATGCAATGCGTCAAATCGGCCACTAATTTTCCACTTGCTGATATCTCCGTGATCGGAAGGTCGTGTGTTAGAATCACGGCCGCGACTGACATAAGTCGATAAAAAAGGCAGCAATTGTTCCCTCGACAAGCGCTCAGCACTCTGAAGTGAAAGTTGCAGGCCTTTCGGATGAGAGCTTAAAAAGTCTCTATATGAGTTAAAAATTCTCGAACGGGATATAAAAAACATACAATCAATTAATCGATCTTAATTTTTTGTTCTGTTTCGTTATTCCAATTAAAATTATAGGAACGTTTTTCCTATCCTTTTGTCCTTTTCTGTCTGGCTTTGGAAGAACAATAAACAAATATGTAAGTTAAGATAAAAGTAAATTTATTAATGCTGTAATTTTCCAAATGGAGGTATATGATTTCTTTTGGACCATGAAATAGTCTCCTATTTCATGCTTTGAAGACACTTCTCAAAATTTAGTCTTTCCATATTCTTTTTCCAGATCAGCATGAATGTACCGTCAAGGACTGTGATGGGTTCAACTGTCCACTGAAGCCCTGTTTCACTAAATAATGTGTTTCCACAAGTGATTTCCGAAACAAACCATGCAGCTTTTGTTTTAATAATATTTGGTTCAAGTCCTGCAAATTTAGAAGATCTAAGGCGCCTTTACGGTTTTTTCCGGAACCATCTAGAAACTTTACCGTGTCATCTGCATATTGAAGTAAAAATACTTTTCCTCATCTCTCTTTATTCTCTTGAGAGAGAGAGAGAGAGAGAGAGAGAGAGAGAGAGAGAGAGATAGACAGAGAGAGAAAGAGAGGATCCCCTTGCAATTGGTGACATTCCCTTGTTACCAGATTTTGAAAAATAATGACAATATATCATATTCGATTGAACATTTTTGAGTTAGATTATATATGAACATATATCCATTTGATAAGATCAGAACCAAATTTTTTTTTTTAAAAGTGTTTCGTAAATATATTTCCAAAACATTGAATCAAAACCTTTTTCAAAATAAATATGAGCAAAATGAATTCTAGTATATTCCTTATATGTACACTTTGGAGTACATAATAAATTATACGTATATTTTCACCAATAAATCTATTCTTAAGAAATCCTTTTGGAGCGCTATGTTTGATAATTCAACATACGGTTCATTCTATTTCCAATAAATGTAGAAGCAATTTTGCATAAAACATTGAGCAAAGATACTGGAAGACTTTTAAAATAACTTCTTAATTTTCTCATTTTGGTAAAAATTTATACAATTCCTTGCTTTTAATTGGAATCCATTATTTATTGATATGATAAGAAACTG